CAATTCACTGTGAGTTATCTTAGCAACCAAAGATTATTGTAGAACTAGGATTGATAATCAAGTGACACATGATAATCATGGCTTAGTGAACTAATTAAAATACATTATATTAAAACTATGTATGTTTTAAAACTAAACTTAATTCTAATGATAAGAAACTTGGAATATGATAGAAAAATTTTAAACTTCGTCAATCTATAAAATACACTGACAACTCTTCTAGTTAAACTGACAGTTCTCATTGCAAATATGATATCACTTTGATAGGTGAATGTTAAAATATGAAGAATAATTCAAATGTTTCTTTTTAGTTTATAATTAATACACAATATGATGATCACCTCTCCCAGCGTTAGAAATAAAACCACCAAGTTGTGTGATTATTTTTATTAAAGTTGGATATTTCAGATTTATCAACAGTGAATTTTTTTGATTGTCTAATTTTGATTAAAAATGTTAGAATCTTTGTACAAAATAGGAAATCTATAGGAGAATGGAAGTGTAGAATGATGAAAGAGTCATTCTGTAAAATTATGGTTGTTTTATGTTGTTGTACTATCAGTCAATGGACTAAGGGGTCCTGATCTCCTGATCATTAACAGTTATAAACGATGTAATATAATTACAAATAGATGTAGATAATTTGATATATATATTTTGGGTACTTCTTGTACAGTCAGATAGAAGTATTTATCGAAAAGCCATGAATCTGAAATCTCTATCAACTAGAATTCGTTATTGGGTACTATCTTCGAACATAAATATTTATTTATCATCCACCTGAGCTACAAATCTTCTCCACCATCTCATAAATATTTATCCAACGATTAAAGTTATCATCATTCTTGTGGTCTTGCAACAATGAATAACGTATCAAACATGATAAGCTTTATCAGCCAATCTGTTTCCTTGTTTAAAGTATTTCGTCATATAGTGAATACACCTATATTGCTGAATATCACTATGCACTTATTTGCTTAGATGGTCATGAGGAGATTTCATACAGCTTGAGAGTAGATATTTAGCATGCTTCAATGGTCCCACAGATGGTGTCGGTTCCTGATGTGAATGGTTTATATGTCAGATCAATTCTTAGTAAACTACTTAACTTAACAAAATCATACATTAATTAGTGATAGATTGATGACTCACTTAAGGACAGCTTTTCCAGAGTTAAAATAAGGGCCCTTGGAAATAGCCAAGTTGAGGGTATGAGATGTGCTTACTAACAAAATTAGATTTAGGCTGCACTATAACACAAATCGATGTAAATTTTTAATTTCAAATGGCGAACTCCGACTTAACGGTTTTTCGGTATCGGGGTCACCATGATGCATGAAAATTGTGAACTCGATCAAATATGTTTTGAATAAACACTATTGAGGACCATCAAACAGAAATTAAATATCTTTTTTTTATTTCAAGATTTTTAATAATTTCTCATCTAATATATAGCTGTAATGATGAATTTTATTAATTATTAAATGATAGAAATTATTTTGAGGTCACATATTACCAATCAGTAGTTATTAAATGTTCATCTTATAATATAAACACTTTCATTATGAACTTTGGTGTTTTTGGATAAACTTAACTTTCTGTCAGTGAAAGTTTTAACGCCAATTATATCACAGTTTGAAAATATTCACTTATATTATAATCAATTAACTGTGTAGTATTCAATATACATTACCGAATTGAAGAATTTTTGTAAATAAAGTGTTCATCATATTTTAATCAATAAATATCAAAATTCATTAGATACATGTTTTCTTCTAAGATTCTTTAGTAACTCTACTTTTAGCTGTTCTAGGGCTACTGTTGGTCCCAAGCCCAGGTAAAGGAGGAGGGTTGGGAATGGGATCGGAAACCCCATCCCGCAGAAAACAACTTTCCTAAAAGACGCTAACCAGAAAAAACAATTTAAACCATTTAAACTCTGCCCTTTGAACTGAAGAAAAAATCACGACGCCTCGTGATGAAAGCCGAGATTCTTTGGAGCTAACAAGATCATTGCCTATTCTAACAACTAGAGCAAATATTTATATAGGTGATATGGAACGTCTGCACAGTCACATTTCGACAGGAATAAGGAGATACAACTTGGCAGTACTGAAAAAAAAGCTGAATTCGTTGAACCTAATTTGGACAGCAAATAGATACAAAAGAGATGCTACCGTACTCCTGTCACGAAGAGGAAAATGCCCTATACACTGAGGGAGTTACTCTGATGCTGTCCAAACTAGACACGTAATGCACTTATAGAATGGGAATCTCACGGATCCAGGACATTAAACTATACTTCAGAGAAGAGAAAAAGGGAATCACAATGAGTGTCGTCTAATGTTATGCACCCATCAATGATAGCAATGACAACGATAAAGATCAGTACTTCGATAGGTTGCAATCGATCATGGCGAAGTACTCAGGAACGGTCCTGATAATTCTGACGTTAGATCTAAATGCCAAAGTCGGAAAGGAATGCAACGGTTATGAAGATATCATGGATGACATGGACTGGGAGAAAATAATCGAAATGGCAAAATATTTGCAAATCAATGCGCATTTTACAAATTGGTTATAGGTGTTACAATATTCCAACATAAACACATACACAAACTACATGCATCTCACCAGACCACACCACGAAGAACTAGGTAGATCACATTGGTATCAACTAAAAATTCAGAAGAACAATGAAAGACGTGAGAACCAGGTGAAGAGCTGGCATAGCCTTTGGTTGGCACCGATCGGTGATTACCAAGATGAAACTAAAGCTAAAGATACGCCGCACAACTGGGGGAACAGCATTACAATGGTTCTATACAGCCTTCCTTCGAGATACGAACAAACTCAAATAATTCAAGATAGCTCACAACAACAAATCCCAAGCCTTACAGGGTCTACTGAAAGAAGAAGAAGCTGCCATGGAGGACAAGTGGAAGGGTATCAATAAGCATTAACTTCAACGTGTCAGGTGGTTCTGGGCCGCAAGAAGTATCATCATAAGGAATGGATCTCTGTGACAACTTTGAACAAGATTCAAAAGAGAAAGAACAAGAAGACAGCAATTAAGAATAGCCGAACAAGAGCAGAGAAAGTCAAGGCACAAAGGTGAACACACAGAAGCAAAAAAGCAAGTGAAGAAGAACATTGAAGCCGACAAGCAGAAATACATGGAAGAGCAAGCAACGACAACGGAAAAAGCTGCTACAGAGGGAAATATGAGACAGCTATAAGACTCAATGAAAAAGCTAGAAGGAAATATAGTAAACCAAAGAGACCAGTCAAGGACAAAGAAGGCAAGACAATCACCGAGATTCAAGAACAGGGGAACAGGTGGCTAGGATACTTCGAGGAACTCTTGAATAGACCAGACATCGAAGCAGGACACACAAACCTCTCGACAGATGTCACTCCACCAACGGTCGAAGAAATCAGGGTGGCCATCAGACAAATCAGTAGGCGTCCGACTTCGAGACCAAAAGGCTGGATTCCGTAAGGATCAGTTATACACAGACGAAATCGCGACACTACGGTTCATCGTTAAACAATTAATTGAATGAAGCTCGTTACTAAACATCAACTTCCTTGATTTTGAGGAAGTATTTTACAGCGTGGATAGGATTCTTATGGAAACTTTTTTGACGCTGTGGAGTACCTGAGAAAATCGTCAACGTCATTCGGAATTTATACGACGGACTACACTGCAAAGTCATGCATGGAGGACAGTTGACAGATGCATTCCAAGTAAAGACCTGAGTTATACAAGGTTACCTACTCCTCCTCTTTCTTTTTCCTCTGGTGGTCGACCGGATTATGAAGACATAGACATCTGACACGCAGCACGGAATAAACTGGACAGGTTGGATGCAACTAGACAATTTGGACTTCGAAGATGACCTGACCCTTCTATCCCATACATATCAATAAATGCAAGTCAAGACAAACAGTTAGCAGTAGCCTCTGCAACAGTAGGCCTCAACATACGCAAGGTAAAATGCAAGATCCTCAAATATAACACAGAGAACAACTTAATCACACTTAATGAAGAAACTCTGGAAGAGATGTGAATGTTCACGTATCTGGACACCATCATCGATGAACATCGAGGATCTGATGCAGACGTGAAGGCGAGAATTGGCAAAGCAAAGGTCGTATTCCTACAGGTGAAGAATATACGGAACTTGAAACAACTGCCAACCAATATCAAAATGAGAATCTTCAATACGAACGTCAAGACAGTTTTACTGTACGGAGTTGAAATTTGGAGAACTGCTACGACCATCGAGTATTTATTAACAGTTGTCTACGTAAGACACTGAATGTCCGTTAACTGGATACCATCAGTAACAGCCTACTGTGGGAGAGAACAAATTAACTTCCAACTGAGGAAGAAATTAGGAAAAAACGTTAGAAGTGGATGGGACACACATTGAAGAAAACACCAAACTGGTTTACGAGGCAAGCTCTAACTTAAAATGCTGAAGGGAAACGAAAAAGTGGAAGACCAAAGAACACATTGCGCCGGGAATCGGAAGCAGACATGAAAAGGATGAATAGCAACTGGAAAGGACTGACCAGGACAGAGTTGGATAGAGAATACTAGTGAGCAGCCTATGCCCCCTCATGGGGGGTATCAGGCGTAAGTAAATGAGTTTTTTAGTGATAATACAAGTGAAATCCAGAAAGAAACAAAATTCTCTGACCTATTTCCAAGAGAACAATCCTTTTATTTCTTCCATTTACAATAGAATGGTTTAATTTAATGTGTCCAGATTTTGTGTTTGTTTCAAGTGTTTTTATTTTTTTAAAGCTTCATTATATTTTTTTATTTTGTTGATTCATTTCATTTTACTCATTTAGTAATGAAGACACTCAGTTGCTGAACTAAAATATTCTGTTCAATAATCATTATGCGAATATATATTGTCAGTTATTTATTCAGTTATGTAAACTGTCGTTCATGTTCAAGAAAACACATATTTCTTTGTAACATTATGCTTACTATAACTTGGCTATTAGTTGTTCGGTTATTGAATAAATTTTATATGCAAGAGGATGATCAATTATTTCATTATCCTCCAAATATTAATTTGTATCAAATTTATGAAAAAGAAAAATTACAAATTAATTCAAGTTTACCACCATTATGGAAAATAACGTTTCCTCTATCTTCTAATTATACAGAACAATGTCTAATTAAACATTATAAATGCAATAGTAATAATAATAATAATAATAATAATAATAATTAATGATTCCTTATTATTTCAGTCGTCAAAATGTCAAACTCTTGATATACTATTAGTCATTCGATCACATGTAAATAATTTCAATCAACGAGATGCTATTCGTCAAACATGGGGAAATCAGCAATGTTATGAAAATTTTGGTGTGTTTATTCGTATTCTATTTATTTTAGGCAAACAAGACGACAATAATGATAATGTATTAAATTATTTTATGCAAAATAAAAATATTCATTATGACAATAGTGGGGGTAACATTGGAGTATTACAAATGCTACACTATGAGCATTTTATGCATCGTGATATTATACAATTTGACTTTATTGATAATGATTCTAATTTATTGAATAAATGGATTGGTAGTATTGATTTTATTGTAAAATATTGTATGATTACTGAAAAATCTTTTACTCTATTTCTAGATGATGATACTTTTTTACATCCAATAAATTTAATACAATTATTACGTCGTATTACACTTAGTCAATATAGAATTTATGCATCCGGTCATGTAAAACGTATCTCTTATCCAGTACGTATCCCGTTCTTGCCTAAATATATGTCATTATCAAATTATCCATTCTGTATGTATCCACCATATATAATTAGTGGAACAATTATATTAAGTATGCCTGTTGTTCAATTATTACGTGTTGGATTTAACTATGTTACAAATATTCCATATGATGATATCCTATTAGGAATGATACTATTAAAATTTGGTATTAGTCCTATTCATTTAAAAAATATTTATACAGAACATAGTTTAGATAAGCAAACCCTTAAACAATTACAATTTATCAGTATTCATGGTTACAATGATCCTTCAATGATTCACTCGTTGTGGTCAACTTTAAATATGAATTATGCTTGTAAAATAAAATTGAAGAACTAATCAAAAGATATCTAAGATATTTTATGCTCTTTTTTATTCGTGAAGCTATACAAACTGACAAAGTTTTTCTTATTATTTCATTTTAGCTAGTTCCGTGATTAAAAGTGACAGATGAACAAATAATTTTTTAATGAAGATTAGTTTTTTAATGCACTATTTTATGGGTTTATAGTCCTTTCATATGTATGGCAAACATGATATCGGTTACTACTCAATTCTATAGAAAATCAGTAGTAGTTCGAATAGCTCAGTTGTGACGTCTCAGATTGTGTACAACAGGGGGTGTGGAGAAATAATCATCTGAAGATTGCAAGTATACCATGTTGTTAAGTGCTAACTAACACGAAAATTTGATCCATGGATTCATATTGACCACCATCAACCACCTTACATCAAAACATGGTGCACATGATATCAAATTATTTAGACTAGTGGATGTATTGTAACGTAGTCCATAGACTTGGATCAGAATTTAGAATTTCGAAACTGTGACATTTTTTAATACTCAGTGATCAGTGAATGAAAATATAACCAGCGTAAATGATAATTTAACCCTGAATTCACAATTTGACATATTTGGCTGATCATTTTTTTAGTTTATTTTACATTAGATACATGGCGTCAAAGCAACATATTTTTGGGTGGTAAATGTTAATGTTGTCTATTATTTGATGCCAAGTGTTTTTTGGATGCTTTTAGCTGATACGTCGCAATGATTTTATTCTAGTAAAAGATATACTATACTATACTATTCTATATATATATGTAAAGTGTTTCCATAAACTGTTCTTATACCGTTACATTATTACTCAGTCCTTATCATTAAAATTTAGTTATGTGAAGTATCACCTTATTGTACAAACAAGTAGCTGAATTTAATCTACATTTAATAAAATTTTAAATTGGAACTAATCAATGAATTTTCATTCATTACCACTCACTAATTTTCGATGGTTTTTAATTGAAATCAAGCAATGTGAGTTCAACTATGTAATCACTTAACTGAACTCTATTTTAAATTAAAGCTAAATAAAGTTATTCACTTTCTATTACATGAGTTAACGAATCAAAAGTCAATTATATCGATCATGAACTATGCTAATCACTATATAATTTTATTTCAATCCAAATTATTTGTTATATGATAGTCTGAGTCAGAAGATTAACAAAATTATTTTCATAGTTGTAGTAACAACTTGATCTATACCAAACTACCATTAAGAACCTAGAAGCACTGGACAGCCGTTCCGTCCTGGTATGGAACTTCTTAGCAGTGCGCTTCCACGGTATCGCACATGGAATTTGAACCCGGGGCCTTCGGTCTTGCGCGCGAATGCCTAAATTCTAGAACACTGAGCTGGCATACGATGGTGTTAATGTCAGACATTAATCACTCTATGATCTTGCGCAACCCTTCGTTTATCACCTAAGACGGATGTGACTCATACCCGGCAGGGATTGTACTCCGCGGGTTACAATTGCTCGATATAACTCCAGGAGTTACATCTTTAACCTAATCACTAGTAAGCGCAAGATTGTTATAAGTTTAAGGATTTGTAGAGATTGTGATATTTTCACGCGAGACCGAAGGTCTTTAGTTCGAGTTCTGCTTACGGGTTTTTGGCTGCGCACACCTGAGGAATCCCATACTCGGACGAAACGGCCGTTCAGTGCTGTCAGGTTTGCGTTGTGATCTAGTTTAAATCGACTAGTGATTTCAACTGTGAAAATACTACAGTCTCCACAAATCCCTATGCTGATAATATATTTATTGACTAAATTATTGATAGTTCATGATTTTATTCACACTATATATGACCCAATGAATTAATGAGCTTAAATTATTCTTGTTAGTAAATATATTGTTAAAGACTCATAATTTTTTATATGCTCTACTCTAAGATGTCCGAATTTGTTTATAGATACAAAATCGAGCAATCAAGCTTCAGATTAGATTAGGTTAAACGAAGCAAGTTCAGCCTATTTTGTAAATAATGTTGATCTTGGTTTATCTAAATTTATGAGTGCAGCTATATTCATGAATTAAATTAAATTCATTTCCAGCAATTTTTACAAGAGCGTTATACTATCAAGAAAACTGCTGACGACCAGGAAGATGTTGGCGATTTTCCTTATTGTAATTTGAGGCATTTTATCAGTGCTCATTCACAGTAATACACATGCTATTAGATAGACTGTTGCTTGTTTATGTACAGTATGTCTCAAATCTTATTGATGAACTCGGAAGCACTGTGCTTGTTGCATGGTGTGATAGGTTTGAGTCATTTTCCGTATGGAATTATTCCTAGTTATTACTGGAAATTACAGAACTAAGTCAACATAATTGTCCGTTACTTCATTGTTTTCATTAGCTCAATAATTTAAATCAGATGGATATAGGCTATACGTTTAAATCATGTGAAGCCTTCACGAAACCACTGAAGATAAAAGAAAAGTTAGAATATAAAAGCATGTCAAATAAGCATACTATTTAACATTAATTTCATTATGCTTTCCCGTGATAATAGATTTCCGAAGGTATGATGAAAATGTAGGGAAATCGATTACGTTACATGTAGATATTTATCATACCTGAAAATTAGCCCGGTATCTCCGTATAACTTTGATGCAGACGCTGACATCGATTCGATTGTTTATAAACGTAAAATGAAGCAACAGTCGTAGTAATCAATCCAATATGCTGATCATCAATGCACCCCTTTTTTAACTAAGTAAAATGCAAAACAATCCGAGTGACATATAAATATGCAGTCACACCCATTATTTCATGACTAGGTCTCTGATAAAATTCATTAAAAACCCGTATGTAGACTAATACTGGAGCCTAGTAATTTTTGGAATGGATTAGAGTATATTAGGTTGAGTTAATCATAACTCAGTATGAGTATTTTAATCAAAGAATGAATCTAGATATTGTATACTACTAGTAAATCGATATCAATAGCCTATCCTGTATGTTATGCTAAAATTCACGTAAAATTTTGATTAAAAAATTGATCAAGTGGAATCAGTGACGCGGAGCAGCATCCTATTTCAAATGAATTTCTTTATGTACAATGTTTTGGTTTTACTTTATATAGTCAAATAATTTCTACTAATTGCAGTAATACACAAAATAATTGCAACGAGAAGAATGGCAATACAAGTAAACTTAGCAGTACGTATCACTATGGTAATGAACTTGACCGAACTACTTTTATTGAGACTAGATACAAAAATAAAATACTATCGTTTAAAATATTTTGATCCATATTACTTACTTACTTACGCCTGTTACTCCTCGTGAAGGAGCATAGGCCGCTCGCCATCATTCTCCATCCAACCCTGTCATGGGCAATCCTTTCCAGCTCCTTCCATATTAAATACCCAATACTTTGGATAGCTTATTTCTTGTGAATAATTGTAATTTCAGGTATTTCTTTATTCAATGAGGATCTTTAAGCGAGAAAAAACTCGTGGAAAGAATTGGATAAATTATATTATTGTTTTATGAATGCCTAAAAGGGATGAGATGTCAAAAACTGTTTAGAACAAGTTCTTGCAACGATTTTGGTAAACATCAGAAATTGATCTTAGTTGAACAACAATTGAAAACTAGAGGACAGTGGGTGTCTGTTTCTTTCTAGAAAGGAACTTTACAGCAGTGCGTATTCACAATTCCAATGGAAACCGAGTCTAAGACATTCATGTCAATCGGGGAGCCGTTAACTTTGAAACCACTTAGATAATATCCAATGTTTTGTACATTTAACTTTATCCAAATCACGGTATCGGATAATCATCTTTTATTACAATTGCTAGGCAACTACTTCGTACTCGACAAGGTCTTATATTAGAACAAAATAGCTGTGCACAGCTTCCTGGTTTTCGATGGTTGCTTAAATAAGATCAGTTCTTGATGGAACCCATAAAATTCAATAGTTTCCATAAGCCCTATTTAGCAATATTATTAGGTAGCTTTATTTTCAATCAGAACAATAAGTTAAGAAATATCGATGGTTACTATCACCATAGGAACCTGACTTGTTATTCTCTGTTAATTTTTAAAAGTTTACAATTCATTCAGTGTCCTCATTAGGTCACTTAACAAAACGTTTATAAACATAACTTACTACAACAAAGCTTAATGATTAGTATGCTCGTAACGTACTGAAGGATTAGCTAGATTTCGTGATAATAATTAGTATTGATTTATTAGTGTTTAGAATTTAGTTATTCCTACTTATAAACCTATTTACCATAAATAGTCATTCCTGTTAAACCGTGTGCAACACATTGGTTGTAAATATGATTGACAATTTCTAAATTTCTAGGTAATACGGCAACTCATAGAGTAGTTCGTTTATTTTATGTATATATTACCTTTGAACCAACAGAGTAGAAATTATATAATGAAAACGAATATAAGATAGGTAACTAGAAGATATGAAATGGATTTTGTGGTGGTATCCATACCAATCTAAGAATTATAACTTCAATAATTATGTGATCGGATATTTTTATGAAAATACAGATGATTGACATCACTTCTCTTGAAAGTATGAGATATAAATTATTATGTTGCTTTTAATGTCTTACTGCCTTTCTAACTTGAATAACAAATTAACTCTATCGTGATTGAATATCTTGTAATATTTTGAGTATCTGTCTTGTAGATTAAGTTTAACATGAATACCTATCGAACAACGATCATTTTAAGAGTGAATTTTCCAGAATTCTGAATTGTAAAATAAGACTAACCTTGTATACATTAAAAGTAAAAGGAATAAAAAAGTTTGTAACGATATATAATGTTTTTCGAGAATTGAAACTGATTGACTAAGCACATGAAAGCAAGAACATTGAGTAGTTTTCGAGTAATTACTTACCATTGTTTAACAAGATCAAATTTAAAAATTCCATAAAATTTTACTGAAAATAAATAGATATATAGATATTCAAGAAACTATAGGTCGAATTTTTAGTAGACTCTTAAAAGA